ACAGACACACACGCACATACACAGACACACACATATACAAACACACAGACGCACACACACAGACACACATACACTGACACATACACACAAATACACAGACATACATAGATACACAGACACAAACGCAGATACATAGACGTACATAGATACACAGACACTCTCAGACACAAACACAGATACAGACACACACTGACAAAGATCTGAAGATATGTGTGTCTTGTATGAATGGAAATGACTCTACTTCCATCGTTACGTGTAGATGTTGTTGTCACTCTCAGGGTGTTCTCCACGTGCCAGGGCCAATTGACGCCGATCGATAACTAGTCTCAAATGTCCCTCAGGAATGCGTACAACATTGATGTCAACCTTCAGTACTACTCCCGTGTCCTGTCTCCCGTCCTTTCTAGAAGGATTCAGTCGGAAATCGCAACTATTTAGATCCAAGTCTCCGCGAGCCATGGAGAAGGATTGGTCTAAAATCCTGGGTCACCAGGAGCAGGAGCGGGGAAAGGGGGTCTTTCAGTGAAACTGATGGGGCTAGAGACAGGTTAGATAGAGGTGTCTGTTCTGCTTCCCAGCGCTTTACACTGAGGTCCGGATAATCCCACCCACACCCCCACCCCTCCCCGGAGGCGAGGGCCTGGCTTTGTCAGTCTGAGATCTTGACCCCTTCAATTTCAATCCATGAAGACATTCCTGAGCTGAAGGCGCTGAGGAATGCAACATAATTTCAAAAGAAATAATCGATTGGTGACAGACCCTCGAGAGACATAGGCCGCCTTTAAAAATGAAGTTGGTTTGGGAGCTCGCTGTTCACGGGGGTTCTGACAGCTCGGATGCATCAGTTTAAACATAACCCACACTCCCCGCCTGCTGTCAGAGAAGGGGTCGAGAAGGAAGTATCCCTCTAAAGTAGTATGTCTTCACAAGGTTTATATTAATACATGACTGGGGTGAACACTGGGTCGGAGGGTGGGGACTAATAGGGGCGAAGCTGCTCACAGTGTGGGGTGGGGAAGGGGTAAGATTTGACCGGGGCGGGGGCAGCTAAAGGAGGCAGGACTGTAGGATAACAGGAAAGTTCAGAGATCGCTGGAGAGAGAGAGAAACTTGTTAGAAAATGCTACGGCATTGCGTGATGTGTGATGTGTGATGTGAATAGGCCCCGAATTAAAGTCACCACTTCAATCAACATTTGATTTTTACCTCCTCGATGTAAAACAAATAATCCCGCTTGAGGGATTCATCCGCATTTACAGACCTTTTTTTCGCATTGGCTTCATTTTGAAATCACCCGCGCCCCTCAGCAAATTAAATTAAATTAACGCCCCTCAGTAAATCAAACTTTAAACGCGAAGGTAAACTGACAAGATGCGATGCGGAGAACAATGATTTGTAAAAGAAAACGATTTTAAAATGAGGAAAAGTTGCAAAAACTGCCTTCCCCCAAAAAAAGAGCTCCCTGAGAAAGGAGGGGGAGCTTCTTAAACT